AGGCAAAAAACTTCTTTATTAAGTCCCCTGCGTGGGATTAATGAGCGAAAAAACTAATAAAGTGCCCGAAGGAGGAAGTTATTGGTCTGAGAAGAATGGTAGCTTGGGCGGAGGAGGAGGAGGAAGAGACAGTAGAGGAGAAAGAGACTGAGGAGGAGGAAGAGGAGGAGGAGGAGGAGACAGTAGAGGAGAAAGAGACTGAGGAGGAAGAAGAGGAGGAGGAAGAAGAAGAAGAGGAGGAGGAGGAAGAAGAGGAGGAGGACTGAACAAGTGGGAAGATAATGACTGTAATGTACATTCAAGTTAGGGAATTCCACAGAGTCCATCCTCCACCTATCTTGTTTCCAGCTACTGGAAAATAGCTCGCTCGCTCGCTCTCGCTCTCTCGCTCTCGCTCTCGCTCTCGCTCTCGCTCTCGCTCTCTCTCTCTGATCATAAAGCCAGCTTTAGCCAACATCTTGGCTAATCGCCGCTGGCTATGACTGAGTCTTCACACACTGGAGGAAAATTAACCAGCGTCTGCCGCCACTACCCAGTTATTATGTGTGCAAATCTACACAGCCTGCACCTCACACCAAGCCGCACCTCACTCAGCCGCATCTCAAACCAAGCCGCACCTCACACCCAAAACGCACCTCACACCAAGCCGCAGCCGCACCTAATACTCAGCCACACCTCACACCAAGCTGCACCTCACACCCAAGCTGCACCTCACACCCAAGCCGCACCCTATGAGGCTACGAGGCAGTAAATCTTCCAAATGACAGCATAAAAGTCAGGGCCAAGAGCCGAGACTCAACCCCGTGTAACCACAAAAAGGTGAGCACACACACTGGGGACATCACATATAAAAAGCCCCTCGGAGCTAGTGATCACGTGGTCCTGAGCTTCGAATACATTGCAGAGGTAAAAGTGGAGAAGGAAGCAGCACGAGTATGATAGTAGAAGCCAAACTATAAAAGTGGGGACTACACAGGTATGAGGAATTTCCTGCATGTGGTACAGTGGGAGAGAGAGAACTCTTGGGGAAAACAGTGAAAGAATAGAATACATGACGACAAAATGCAATGAGGCGGAGAAAAGGTTCGTACCCAAGGGCAACATAAACAATGGGAAGACCAGAACGAGCTAGAGAATGGAAAAGGTATAGAAGACGAAAGACCCAGGAAAATAAGGAGATTGGTAGAAGAGCTAGAAACGAATATGGCTAAGGAGAGAGGACCAGCTTCAATATGAAAATGACATAGCGTCGAAAGTCAAATCTGTTGTACAGCAAGATCAGGAGGAAAACAACAGTCAAGTACCGGGTAATCATGCTGAGGAAGGAAGGAGGGGGGGGGGAGAATCACAAGAAACGATCAAAAACTGTGTGAAGAGCTCAACACGAGATTTAATGAAGTATTTTCAGTGGAGACAGAGAGGACTCCAGCAAACTGGAATGGAACGGTTCACCAACAAGTGCTGGGCACACTGCACACAACCGAGGAGGAAGTGAAGAGGCTGCTAAGTGAACTAGATACCTGAAGGGAGATCATACCGGACAGCTCTCTATGGGTCCTGAGAGAGGGAGAGGCACTGTGCGTGGCACTAATAACAATCTTCAACACATCTATCGATACAGGACAACTACCTGAGGTTTGGAAAACAGCAAATGTAGTCCCAACTTTTAAGAAAGGAGAAAGACAGGCAGCATTAAACTACAGACAACTACAGACTAGTGCCACTGACATGTATAGTATGCAAAGTCATGGAGAAGATTATCAGGACAAGAGTGGTGGAGCACCTAGAAAGGAACGAACTTATACATGGCTACCAGCACGGTTTTAGGGAAGGGAAAACCTGTGCCATAAACCCTGAAGAGTTTTACGACAAAGTGACAGGATAGAGTGGGTAGACTGCATTATCTTGTACTGTAAGAAGGCTTTCGACACAGTTTTACACAAATGATTAGTTCAAAAGCTAGAGGAGTAGGAAAAACAGGAAAGGCACTGCAATGCGTCAGAAAAATACTTGACAGGAAGGAAACGAGTGATGACACGTGATGAGGTGTCAGAGTGGGCGACTGTGACGAGCGGGGTTCCTCAAGGGTCAGTCTTGGGGCCGGTACTGCTTCTGGTATATGTGAATGACATGACGGTAGGGATAGATTCAGAGGTGCCCCTGTTTGCAGATGTGAAGCTAATGCAGAGAATTTAAACTGATGAGAATCAGGTAGGACTACAAAGGGATCTGGACAGGCTACAAGCCTGGTCCAACAAATGGCACCTGTATAACCCTACCAAGTGCAAAGTCATGAAGATTGGGGAGAGTTATGGAAGACCACAGATGGAGTACAGGCTAGGGGGGGGGGTGAAGGCTGCCAATCTTACTCAAGGAAAAGAATCTTGGGGCGAGTATAATACCGAGCACATCTCCTGAGGCGCACATCATCCAAATAACTTCTGCAGCATATGAGCACCTGCAGACCTATGAATAGTGTTCCGATACCTCAATAAGGAATCGTTCAAGACTCTGTACACAGTGTACGTCAGGCCCATACTGGAGTATGCAGCACAAGTTTGGAACCTCACCTGGTCAAACACGTCAAGAAATTAGAGAAAGTGCAAAGGTGTGCAACAAGACTAGTCCCAGAGTTAAGGGGAATATCCTACGAGGAGAGGTTAAGGGAAATCAACCTGACGACACTGGAGAACAGGAGGGATAGGGGGACATGATAACGACATATAAAATACTGAGAGGAATTGACAAAGTGGATAGGGACAGAATGTTCCAGAGATGGGACACAGCAACAAGTGTTCACAACTGGAACTTAAAGACACAGATAAGTCACAGGGATGTTAGGAAGTATGTCTTCAGTCATAGAGTTGTCAGGAAGTGGAAGAGTGTGGAGACTGATGTAGTGAAGGAAAGATCCATACATAGCTTTAAGAATAATAATGATAAAACTCATGGAGCAGGGAGAAAGTGCACCTAGTGGCGACCAGTGAAGAGGCGGGGCCAGGAGCTATGACTCGACCCATGCAACCACAACTAGGTGAGCGCGCACACACAGCTTCAGTACTTTCTGTAGTCAGTAACACAAGGCAGAAGAGGCCAGAAATCAGTAATGTCGACCAGCATATTTTTGTATTATTATTATTATTATTATTATTATTATTATTATTATTATTATTATAAGGAAGTTATAAACGTCTCCTAATGGGAGATAATCAGGAAAAATGAAATAATCAGGAAAAGTCAGGAAAAAAAGATAGCTCCAGTCCCTCGATTCAAACGCCTTCACCGGCATCAAAGAACTACCCCGCCCCTCTCCTTGATGGGAAAGATGTTTACGAAGAGTCTTGGGCCCCTTACGTTAAGTTATTTTTTAGTGCGCTTAAGATTAAAGTATTAATTAAAAGAGGAGCTTATTTTTCAGATATATCAATACACACACACACAATATATAATATATATATATATATATATATATATATATATATATATATATATATATATATTATATATATATATATATATATATATATATATATATATATATATATAATACACACACACACACACACACACACACACACACACACACACACACACACACACACACACACACACACACACACAGACTAAATTCTAGGAATGTGTAAGTATCTTTATTTATATTTTCTCTCACTATTTATCACCTGTGTATCCACTTCCCTCTCTCAATTACAGCTCAGCAAAGCCTAATTATTTACCTTCTAAATTGGCAATTGTTTTACCCCCTTTCGATTATTGGGTCGTGTGTATTCCCCTCTTTGTATATTACCCTCTTCCTCGTGTATTCCTTTATATTTCCCTTTCTTGTAACTTTATCTTTATTATCAAACTGAAATTGTTTTGTTTCTCTCGCCTGCAAGATTATTATATTAAAAGAAAGCACTAAACCCTAAGGAGATATGAACACTTCCTTAATCTGCAACATTAATAATTATTAGTAGTGGTGGTAACAGATTATTTTTAGATTATTATTATCAGTAATAATAATAGCATTACTAATAAAACATTTATTATTAATACTAGTATTAGTAGTATTAATAACAGGAGAACATTAATATTAGTATTACTAATAGATTATTACTGGTAGTAGTAGTAGTAATAATATTTATATATAATAGTAGTAACACATTATTATATTGCAGTGGTAGTCTTAAACGGTCATACTGCACTCTGGAAAGCAGAGGTAATGTGGTTTGATCCGAGGGATGGAAGGGTAGCTCCAGTTCCTTGAATCGGGAGCCCTTCACCAGCATCACGACTTACCCTTCTTAGTTCCCACTTCGTCCAGTAAAATGTCATTTGCACCCACTATCAGCTTCTTTTTTCCACTTGTACCTCCATTCATGGCACCATCTTAGATACCCATGGTTACTTTCCACCATGGTTATCATGCCCGCCGTTACGTGGCTCGATCTGTAGCGGCCTCAGTTCACACACTGAGGCCTGTTACCTTACACCTGCTACCGTTCTTCAGCTAGCATTCAGTAGGTACCTGGGTATTAGTCGACTGGTGTGGGTCACATGGGGACGGGGACTGATTACACGACTCCCAGTGGGAGTAGTGAGCCAGTCTGCTGAGATACGACTGGGTTACTAACCTTCGGGTTAATTAGAACAAAAAACAATTATTTTCAGCTTATTGTTTGGGCAGCACTGAAAAATGGGTTTGGCAAATATTTCTTGTTAGTAGGTTTGGGCTTAAAGAAAGACCTCCCTAGTATGGGCCAGTAGGCCTTCTGCAGTACTACTCCTTTCTTATGTTTCTATGCTCTTAATCTTTCTCTAATTCTCCCTGTTCTCCCCCTTGTTCTTCTTCCCCTGCTCTTCTTCCCCCGTTCTTCTCCACATTCTTCTCCTCTATGATCCTTCAGACTATATACATGTAATTGTTGATATCTAATAATTATGATATAGAGGACTGATAAAGTTAAGTTACCAGTTAACTCTCGTCTTCTCTCCCCTAGACAAGAGACACTGGCATGTACGAGTGTCAGATCTCGACCACACCGCCACTCTCTCACTTCATCCGCCTCAGCGTCGTCAGTAAGTGTCACACCCTGTTTTGTTTGCCACACCATATACTGTGACTCGTGGATTTAGTGGTAGCAGCACCTTTGGCTCACAGCACTAGATGCTAGGTTCTGACCTTGTCCCGTTGTTCCTAGCAGGAAGTAGGTACACAGGTGTTGGTCGACGGTAGTGGGTTGCATCCTGGGTGGTGGTTGTATTAAACAAGTCTGGGGTCTGAAATAACTCAAGCAAAATAAGTGAGGTAGGATAACAGTTAAAGTAGGATACAGGTTGAGGTAGGAACAGTCAGGGTAGGATAGCCGCTCTTAGCCTGCAGATTTAAAAGTAAAACTCTCAACAGGTAAAAAGTTATCCTTAGTTTATTTGAAAGTTCAGCGCCCAGGATGCAATCCTTTCAGTCGAATAACATCCAGGTATATATTTACTGTTGGGAGAACTTTGTCCTGGACGAGACAAAGTTTCGTCCAGGAAGTACCTTTAAGGGCAAAACGTTGTTATACGGTTCATATATTTTCTCAGGTTATTTACTGTTAATATATTAATTTTTCGACCAGTGACCAAGGTCATTCTAATAGCCAAAATAATTTGTTCTTGCTTTTTGCTAAAAAATCACGATTATTTGTATAACATGGTAAATAACGCGGAGGGTGTTATGTTTGGCTCAGCTGTAGATGATTTTCACTTGTTGTCACACTCATCTGTTGTTGTGTGGAACTGATGTGTGACATAGTTCAGTATTGTCCCAGAAGCATCCTCGCTATGTTGGGATTATCCTCTTCAACTGCAAGACGAGACCATCAACTACTGCCAAAAAATCGACACTCGGTGGTTTAAGAACCACCGTTGACGGTACACATTGGTTACAACGCCCTTACAAAGGCTAGGTCCAGGAGGTTGTCTGACTTGGGTCTCGGTGTTAAACTATGATGACCTAGCCTTGAGTATTAACAAGTAGCTGGTAACCGCCGTTTGTAAGCACACTAACTACGACCTGGGTTCTTCACAACCTTAACTGCACTCCCATCAAGTACCATTGTCAAGTATTTCTTCCCCAGAAAAGGGAATCAGCCTGTTAAAGTTGTCTGCTACGTCCAGGATGGGAGTCTGCCAGGATGGCATGACCTTCCACTCTCACTGCATGGGCAGGGATCGTTGCCTGAGAACTACCGCACTGGCTGTTGCTCTCAAGAAACGCACCTCAGCTGTTCCTCTAGTCTATGGTACGTTGAAGCCTATGATAGGACACTTAGATAGTAAATTGAAAGAGAACTGTTGCTTGGAACAGGTACTCAACCTAATTCGAAAGAAAGATAAGGCGAAGCGGAACATAATGGCTTGGCCAGCTTTTTCTCCTTCCCAGCAGCATGCACCAGATGAGCTACAGGTGGCACTCACTCAACTCTTGCCCCTGTTTTATGAGAATGCTGCAACAGGTGTCATGATCAAGTATAAGTCAGATTCCGGTGATGGCGCTAGTTTCTTTAATAATTTTATTATGCACCCTATATCCATCCTATGGGCGGAAGTCAGAAGATTACAGAGGTACGTAATGGATTCAGGGACTGGGCCGTAGTGTAATGGCAGCTAAGCAAATTACAGTGGTAATGAATTATTTACAAGTGTATTATCTGGTTACAAACGTAATGGGTTGTTAATGCAGACATGAATTCAGTCACAAAAAAAACACTGCAATGCAGTTTACATGTGGTTTTGAATTATTTATACCATTCCAGCAGGATATGATTGAATTTACTCACGTATAAATGGTTATGAATTATTTGCAATAGACAGTCGGGGTATTTTTCCAGAATGACCGCTAATATCCACAATGGATAAAATGCTCTGACATTTTTCGAACATTGGTGGGTGACTTTTCTCTAATTTTTTTCGTATTTCAGCACATAATTATGCAAGTGTGACAGCAGCTCATCTGATTATGTTTACATCTGGTCATGTTTACATCTGGTCATGTTAACATCTGGTCATGTTTACATCTGGTCATGTTTACTTTAACTGGTAGAACTTACTCTCAGAAGTACCTGCAGCATATAAGTCACGCCCAAAAGTCAAGTGATTTTTTTTTTTTAAGTTTCAACGTAATTCCCAACCAAATAAACTGAATTTAAAGTCATTTCTGGACATTTTCAGCCAATACTTTCGGCCAGTGGTCCTTAACCTTCCTACACAAGTGGGCCACATTTGATGGTCAAATGTGTGATGATGGGCCACACGGTGTTGTTGACACTGTGAAGTATGGAACTTACATAAAAGTGAATTCATAATTTCATGCGAGGGCCGCATCAATTACCAAGGGCCACATGCGGCCCTTGGGCCACAAGTTGGGGGACCCTGGCTTCAGGTTTTTAGTACTAACTCTTCACAAATATACAGGGTGTTTCAAACTAATGGACCTAATTTCAAAGCAGTGCTGCTTTGAAATTAGGTCCATCATTCTGAAACACCCATAACGAAAGAAATTTTGACGTTAGATAAGAGTGCAGAAACTGGTAATGAGCGCAAAACCCGTAGAGTCCATACGGTGCCAAGGAAATATGGGAGGAGGGTGATCAGATTTGTTCCAAGGGAAAGGTAGCTCAAATTCTTTGAATTAAGATCCCTTCACAAGCATCAAGGTCCCCCCCCCCCTCTCGCCCTTCCCTGCCTGGAAGAGAACCTGTCTGACAATCATAGGAAGCGCTAAACCCGTCAAATTTAGGGCTGCATGGACCAGTAGGCATACTGCAGGGATACTCTCCTCCTTGTGCTCACACAGGTTTATCTGAATCATATTAATCACAAACATCATGTTCAGTACGTAAACAGTTATCACAGACGGATCACAGTCACTGCTCGAGGATAATATTTATCACATTAACATTCTTACTTTCCTTACCTTTTTTTTCATCATTTTTAATATTTCTAGTGTTTATTATATATATATATATATATATATATATATATATATATATATATATATATATATATATATATATATATATATATATATATATTATATATATTAAATAAGTTTTCTTTCTTCCTTTGACTATTCTCACTTGTCTGCTGTATACTTCAATTACTTCTTGGTTTTTTTAATATTCCTCCTATTTCTTCGATCTTGTTTTATACTGTCATTCCTTTTCCTCTTCTACAAATTCTTTTTCTTCTTTCTCCTCCTCCTCCTCCTCCTCCTCCTCCTTCTTCTCCTCTTCCTTTCCCCTCCTCCTCATTCCTTCTCTTCCTGCCTTCCTCCTCCTCCTCCTCCTCCCGGCTTCTCCTCCGCCTTCTTCCTTTCCTCTCTTCCTTCCGCCTCCTCCTCCTCCTTCCTCCTCTTTTCCCCCCTCTTCCATGCGCACGTCTTCCAACACATGGGACAGTCCACTAGTGTTACACAGGTATCTAGTTGCTTTCCCTTTCAGTACATCACAACATTGTCGTGACCAGTCTTCAAGGGCGACCACAAAAGACGTATCAAACACCACTTCTCCTTGGACCTTTTTTGGGGGAAGGGGGGCATTAAAAAGCCATTTCGAAGACCATCACTCCTTTATTGACGCTTCTCAGGGCCTTCGAAGGAAGGATATTTCAAACCACTCTCAGTCCTGTTATAATGTTCTCCAGGATCTTCATCCACCACTCTTGTCGACGTTGTTCAGAGCCTTCAAAAGAGATTCCCACCACAACCACCACTCCTGTTTTGGCGTTCTTTAGAACCTTCAAGAGATATTTTCACCACGACCAGCACTCCTGCTTCGAAGTTCTTCATGATCTTCAAAAGAGATTTCCACCACCATCACACCGACCTCGACCCTGGCTTTCTCTGGATAACAGCTCGTGCCTCTGACCTCTTGGAAAGGTTTTAACATACTACGAAGCGAACTCCTAAATATTTTTTGTTGACGTTGATAGGCTAGCCACAAGGGCATATATCATTGGGTTGTCCGCGGTAGAAACATCAACGCATGTCGCATATTCATTTTCTTGCTTCTAACAAAGTTTGCCGAACGAAAAGTTGTGATTCACTTTGTATTTTTCCTTGTTACTGGTCCATTGGTTTTCTTGCTACTGGTCCAGTGGTTTTCTTGCTACTGGTCCAGTGGTTTTCTTGCTACTGGTCCAGTGGTTTTCTTGCTACTGGTCCAGTGGTTTTCTTGCTACTGGTCCAGTGGTTTTCTTGCTACTGGGCCAGTGATTTTTTCTTGCTACTGGGCCAGTGATTTTTTCTTGCTACTGGGCTAGTGATTTTTCTTTTTACTGGGCTAGTGATTTTCTTGTTACTGGTCCAGTGTTTTCCTTCCTAACCTGGTCCAGTATTTTTTGCTACTAGTCCACATTTTCCACACTATTGTAATAGAAGCAATCTGATACTCATGTCTTCTTCCATTACAGAACCGAATGTTATGCATTTCTTCATTAATCTGTCGATGTTGTTGTAACGTCTATATTGACCTCAAGGATGTTTAGTGAATACAAACCTTTGTGGATAATATAATGTAGACGAGTAATATTACTTACGTGTACTGATGTATAAAGTATAATAATGTTTCGTTGAGATTGATTTCAGTGGATTCCTTGTTGATGGATTTTGAGTAACTCGTATTGAGAGACTCCGTACGCTCTTGTACTAACCCTGTGTACCATTCTACCTACAGAGCCGTACACGCACATCCTGGGCGGGCCAGATATGTACATCAACAAGGGGTCGACCATCAACCTCACTTGTGTGGTCGAGTTCAGTCCGGAGCCTCCAGACTTTATCTACTGGAACCACAATAATAAAGTGAGAACCTTACTTTATATTTTCTTAAACATACCGGCAGTGTCCCACCGACCTAAAAAAAAAAAAAAAAAAAAAAGTTTTTCTCTTGCATTTAGTAATTTATACAGGAGAAGGTGTTACTAGCTCCTTGCTCCCGGCATTTTAGTTGCCTCTTACGACACGAATGACTTGCGGAGGAAAGATTCTTTTCCATATGTATGTACTCACCTAATTGTGGTTGCAGGGGTCGATTCACAGTTTCTGGACCCGCCTGTTCACTGGTGTGTATTCACCTAGTTGTGGTTGCAGGGGTCGAGTCATAGCTCCTGGCCCTGTGAGTGTGTGTGTATAAAGAGTCGATAGCGATAGACACCAGATGGCACTAATCCTGACAATGGTCAGGAACGGAAGGATGGACGGTAGGGAAGGAGGAACAGAGGAATAGACGAAGGGATGGACGGAGAGAAGAACGAGAAAAATGGATGAAGGAACTGTGAGACACATGCTAAGACAGACGGTTAGATGGAAAGACAGGAGCAACGCAGGTACGGACAGAGGAACAACGCAGGTACGGACAGAGGAACAACGCAGGTACGGACAGAGGAACAACGCAGGTACGGACAGAGGAACAACGCAGGTACGGACAGAGGAACAACGCAGGTACGGACAGAGGAACAACGCAGGTACGGACAGAGGAACGGACATGCAGTGTACCAGTAAATGCCATTCAGTGTTAAATAAAATTGCAGTGACGGTGTCTTCAACACCAAGTAAAAAATATCTTCCATCTTTCTTCTCTTTCATACAGAAAAGGAATCACACTTTCCCATCCCATCAGTGTCAGCACAGTCTTGACTGACGGTGTTCTGATAAAATAAATAAATTATACACACACACACACATATATATATATATATATATATATATATATATATATATATATATATATATATATATATATATATATTATATATTACACATAATTTTACTGTTAGGTTTGAACAAAATAATTCATTGCCTTTTTCATGATTTTAAATTCAAAATATATAAGAAACCAACGAATATAACTGTTATGTGCACTATTATCCTTCATGATGCAAAGTGTATTCTCATCAGTTTTTTTGAGAACTTTGCATATTTGCCGTCCAGAGTTCATAGATGAAGTTTTGAAGATTTATGAAATAGCTAATGATCTAAAATACCCAAATCACTTAATTGATAAATCTTTTAAAACTGATAGAAATACTTTTTTACAATTCAAAAGAGGACAACCTTATTCAACTAAAAATATGTTGGTTCTCCCTTACCATGAAAACTTGGTTGAGGGGCCTTTTCTACTTAAGAATTTTAAAATCAAAGTTGTATTTAAAAATCTCGATAACATTGAAAAAAAAAACTGATTAAAAATTTCCCCAAGAAATGCGGACGGATGTGTCTACAGGATCCCTTGTAAAATGTGATAAAGTTTATTATGGTCAAACTGGTAAAAGTCTTGAATTAAGATTAAAACAACATAAATGTATCATTAAAAGTGGACAAGATTCTAATGGTCTGTTTATTCATGTGAGAGATTTTAACCATCCAATTGATTTTTAAAATGCCGAGAAAGTTGTATCAAGCAGGTCCATGGTTGAGAGAATTATTATCAAGTTCCACAGAAAATAGTTTTGAAATTAATGTGAATATTGCTTTAGGATTATACAAACTAGATTCATTTATAGTTAATAAAATTTGGGAAGAATTTAAGGAATGTTTGACAAGTCCTTGACCATCTCATCCGCATCCCTTCTGTTTAAATTTAATTGAATTACGACAGTAGACTTAATGACGCAGTGCAATAAATGAAGAAACAGTGCAAAGACATAAGCTACAGTGCAAAGTGCGTCTACAAGACTGCAAGAAATCTTGCATTCTTTACACAATTTGTACACAAGAAAGGAACACTGCACTAGCCCTACTGGCCTGTGCAAGGAGCCGAATGAGCGGTGCAATATATACAATATAGTCTTAAATTTTTATGGCCCATGTCGGACCTAAACATCGTGATGTTGATCTTTATTTCTACAAGTACATGATACAACTTATACAGACCATAGATGACATCAATGACATACTATATACAAAGTTCCTGGTTGTATAAAGGATTTCGGTCAACTTAGTTTTTGTCCCCATGACGCGACCCACACCAGTCGGCTAACACCCAAGTACCTACTGACTGATAGGTGAACAGGGACAACAGGTGTTCTAATTAAGGGAACACGTCCCCCAGTGTTTCCACCCGTACCGAGCATCAAACCACGGACACTCAGTAAGCTGAGTGTAGGTTATTTATTAATACTAAGGCAAGTTGTTTCTCTGAGAACACAGTGCTTACCTTTGTGAACCATACCCCCGGCCGGGATTGAACCCGCGGTCATAGAGTCTCAAAACTCCAGCCCGTCGCGTTAGCCACTAGTTTATTTGCAATCGTGTCATTACGATTTCTTAAGTCTTACCTTTGTGAAAAAAAATCACCTCTAAGACTATGAAATACAAAACTGTCAAGTTCATAGACTGTATTCTGTTCAATAATTGTTTCTGTATTTTCTGGCATATAAGGCGCTCTTCCCCCCCCCCCAAAAAAAAAAAAAATGGAAAATCAACCTAGTCAGAGTCAAGGGTAGACTTTGGGTTACACTTTAGCAGTTGTTTACTAACGTTACGTTACAACTGCTTGGTAACATCGTCTTGCATGTTTATGATCGTGCGCCTTATATGCCGGGAAAATAGGGTACACAGAAGCAATTTGAAATTAGTCCAGTGTACAGTGGCCAGTTTTCTTTAAATGAACGACCAGAGTACATGAGTCTTGACCAGTAGTTACTGCATATTTATGTATTTTAACTCCAGTAGCTCACCAGTTAGTCCAAGGTAAAGCTATAGCAGTGCTAGCATAGCATCGCAGTGCTAGCATAGCATCGCAGTGCTATCGTAGCGTCGTGAATGACACTACTGTTATTCCAGAAGGTAACGTTTAGATTTGCTACACACGCAATTGTTGCAGAGATTATTCAGTTGATATACACAGGCGTGCAATAACCTCCTCAGGCATTCATAACGCGTGCGTGTGTGTGTGTGTGTGTGTGTGTGTGTGTGTGTGTGTGTGTGTATGTGTGTGTGTGTGTGTATGTGTGTGTGTGTGTGTGTGTGTGTGTGTGTGTGTGTGTGTGTGTGTGTGTGTGTGTGTGTGTGTGTGTGTGTGTGTGTGACAGAGAGGAGGGGGGGTCGTGTTACTAAAGTGTCTAAAATCGGTGGCGAACCTTATACTTCACTGAGAAATATATTTGGAAGAGAACATTGATAGAAACACATAAGCAGTTTCCTATCTCATTACAAGTGTTAAAGATAAGCAGCAAACAGGCCAACTTTCTTCCCTGTTTTCTGAAGCTGCTGCTCTCCGAGCCTCGACGCTTCTCTGAATCAAGTTGTGAGCGAAAGGCAAGAACCTAGGCTCACTTGTATGTGGAAGGGTAAATTTAATCCAGTGAAAACGAGAGAGAGAAAGAGAGAGAGAGCGCAACTGAAAGGCCATGGTGACAGTGTGTTGCAGACACGTCAGTGCAGTGGGATAACTGATGGTATAATATATGGTAGGTCTGCGCTATGGAATAGTGTTCTGGCACAGTTACGAGGCCATGGTGTTACCATGGGACGGCTGGAAACTCAATATTGGGAAAGGTAAACAATAACACCTGCCATCCATCCATTCATTCTCATTCTCTCATTCTCTCTCTCTCTTCTCTCTCTCTCTCTCTCTCTCTCTCTCTCCTCTCTCTCCTCTCCTCTCTCTCTCTCTCTCTCTCTCTCTCTTCTCTCTCTCCTCTCTCTCAGCTCACCACTTCTAACACCCGTCTCTTCCCGTCAGATCATCAGCTACGACTCCACCCGCGGGGGCGTCACTGTCATCATCGAGAAAGGAGATGTGACCACAAGTTCGTTGTTGATCCAGAAGGCGCAGGCGTACGACTCTGGTCGCTACAACTGCAACCCTTCCAACGCTGCTCCTGCTAACGTCACCGTGCATGTTCTCAATGGTGTGTGTGTGTGTGTCTGTGTGTGCACACGCACATTTACACACACAAAATTATATATATATATATATATATATATATATATATATATATATATATATATATATATATATATATACATACATACACGTGCCGAATAGGTAAAACTGGTCAGTCAGCAAGAACTCATTTAAAATTAAGTCCTTTCTAAAAATTTCTTTTATACGTTTAAAGATATATTTTTTTCATTTATGTTAATATAAAAATTAATAATTTTGTACCAAAAGTACCCTAGAAAACTTACCTAACCTTACTATAACAAGCGCAATTTAATTTAGCCTAATCCAACTTAATATATTTTATACAAGTTTACAATACTTTAATAATAAAGACAAAGAAAAGTATGTTTTTTGTTAGATTCAAAACTATTTTTTGCTAAACTATTGCAGACACAAATTTTTTCTTGCCCTATTCGGCAAGAAGTGCGTTGCTATTTAAGCCAAAATAGCAAGTTTTACTTACTGTTTATATAAATAAATATATATATATAAGAAAGAGGGAAACCGGTGCTTCTATTTCGCTATTTAAAACAATTTATTCACTACTAGTTTCGGAGTTAACTGAATCCATCATCAGATGCTCTACCAAAACCAGAGGAAATAAATTACAAGACCCAGATCAAAACATATGTTAAATGTCAAATATAAGTAAAGAAGCGGAAAAATAACAAGGAATAAAGATTAACAACAAAGTAAAAACTAGAAACCAAGTAACTCTGGTGACCGTTTATTACAGAGCGAAGGTTTGGGTCTCGTGATGACGGCGACAGACTAGCGGTGCCGGCCAGCAGTCTAGTAAGCTGGTCCACTACATCCTAATGATTGCTATCACCTTTCCATCCCTGTGGACGACGAGGAGAGGGGAAAATATCTGAGGGCAAAACATGGCCTTCAGGGTCTAAGAGCTCTTCCGATGCTTCATTCGTTGACAAATCGATGAACGATCGATGACCACATTACAAAGACTATGGTGAAATAACCGAGCAGTGGAAACGAGGCTGAAGATGATTATTAGGGTCATTATTATAATTAATGTTAATCTCTAAACCCAAGCGCGTCATTAAGTGCAAGTCGTGGTGGAGGCTTGATCCTCCGTCTACTGAGCGTCAGACAGACGCGCTACCTACTTATACTCACCACTGTTTTTTATTATAATTAGAAATTTCTGTTGAATCAGGAGCAACAGTCACGTTATTGTGGATTTGCAGGATCGTCTGGGAGGACGTGGACTGTCATTGACTGGTCTCCACAAGCTTCCTTTGCATCGTCTTTGCTATTGTCGGTGTATCTCTGGGACGAAAAAGCCAGTACGACAACTGTGGATGCAGCATTTGTTGGATGGGTTGCTCCTCACTCGCATCAGTCTTGGCTTCCTTCCTCGTAACGTTCAAGCGATCTCATCGATCCTGCTCATCTTACCTTCCTTTAGCATTGCAGGAACTAAGGGGCTTCCCAGTCCCTCAAGATTTTGTTTGGATTTTTAACCCGGGGGGTTATCCACCCAGGATAACCCAAGAAAGTCAGTGCGTCATCGAGGATTGTCTGCGTTATTTCCAATGGGGTCCTTCAATCTTGTCCCCCAGGATGCGACCCACACCAGTCAACTGACATCCAGGTACCTACTTGCTAGGTGAACGGGAATAGCAGGTGTAAGGAAACACGCCCAGTGTTTCCACCCGGGCGGGTATCGAACTGAGAACACTCAGTGTGTGAGGCGAGAGCGTTGACTTCCAGTCCATGGGACACCCTTCATCCTCTACAGTGTCTGCTAAGGAGGGACATATTAAAGGCAATCCAAGAAATCACTTTTCTATATTTTATATATATATATATATATATATATATATATATATATATATATATATATATATATATATATATATATATATATATATATATATAAAACCTTAATTTTTATAAGGGTGAACCGGTAAGGCAGTGGAAGATCTCGGTCAGACGACAGAAAGCCGAGGCTGCGGGTCATGTGACTCGGACCCGCGTCAGGAAACACCATATGCTAGAATCTCTTAGCCTTGTTCTGATTCTTCTTGAGCGTGTTCAATTCACCAGCTTCAAGATGGAAACCAGAACATCTATATATTTCAGCTGGGGAAGATTCCCAGCCATGTCGCAAAAGAGCAACAGCGCCACAGACTGGCAGTCTCTCTCCTGGCGAAGTGACAGTACGAGAAATACACAGTAACTTCAACCTGTCGCTACTGAATAACATTACTGTAATGAGAAAATTCCACGTCTGCTAGATAATTTAGCACCTAGTATTTCCACAGACCTTAGTGCCACTAACCAGACGTCAGTGGAATGAATGGCGGTGTATGCAGTTGCTTCCGCCGCAATCACAATTGAATCGGTAAAAAATGAGACAGAAATCACTGTGTGAAAAATTAAACCACTGACAGCGACCTTTAATATTATTAGATTCCAATAAAATTACACTCGAATTACTTTCTCTCATAATGAAACATTTTGACAGGGGCTCCTACAGCAAATTTTCATTACTGAATTTTTTCCACCTGTGGATAAGGACAACCCTACATTATATACACACAACAAGTCGGCCGTCTCCCACCGAGGCAGGGTGACTCAAAAAGAAATAAAATCCCCAAAAAGGAAATACTTTCATCATTCAACACTTTCACCTCACTCATACATAATCACTGTTTTTGCAGGTGCGCTCAGAATACAACAGTTTAGAAGCATATACGTATATACACAACATATCCCTCCACTCTGCCAATATCCCAAACCCCTCCTTTAAAGTGCAGGCATTGTACTTTCCATTTTCAGGACTCAAGTCCGGCTATATAAAAATAACCGGTTTCCCTGAATCCCTTCACTAAATATTACCCTGCTCACACTCCAACAGCTCGTCAGGTCCCAAATACCATTCGTCTCCATTCACTCCTAACACGCTCACGCACGCTTGCTTGAAGTCCAAGCCCCTCGCCCACGAAACCTCCTTTACTCCATTCCTCAAACCTTTTCGAGAACGACCCCTACCCTGCCTTCTTTTTCCTACAGATTTATACGCTCTCCATGTCATTCTACTTTGCTGCGTTCTCTAAATGACCAAACCACCTTATTAACAACCCCTCTGCTGCCCTCTGACTAATACTTTTATTAACTCCACACCTCCTAATTTCAACACTCCGAATTTTCTGCATATCTACACCACACATTGCCCTTAGACAGGACATCTCCACTGCCTCCAACCGTTTCCTCGCTGCTGCATTTACCACCCAAGCTTCACACCCATATAAGAGTGTTGGTACAACTATACTTTCATACATTCCCTTCTTTGCCTCCATAGATAACGTTTTTTTGTCTCCACATATACCTCAATGCACCACTCACCTTTTTTCTTTCATTAATTCTGTGGTTAACCTCATCCTTCATAAACCCATCCGCTGACACATCAACTCCCAAGTATCTGAAAACATTCACTTCTTCCATACTCTCTCTCCAATGTGGTATCCAACTTTTCTTTATCTAAATCATTTGATACCCTCATCACCTCTTTTCTATGTTTACTTTCAACTTTCTACCTTTACATATCCTCCCAAACTTGTTCACTAACCTTTGCGACTTTTCTTTAGAATCTCCCATAAGCACAGTATCATCAGCAAAAAGTAACGGTGTCGACTCCCATTTTGTATTTGATTCCCCATAATTTAATCCCACCCCTCTCCCGAACACCCTAGCATTTACTTCTTTTACAACCCCATCTATAAATATATTAAACAACCATGGTGACATTACACATCCCTGTCTAAGACCTACTTTTACTGGGAAGTATCTCCCTTTCTCCTACCCACCCTAACCTGAGCCTCACTATCCTCATAAAAACTTTTTTACATATACTTGCAACATCTACCACACTGCTCCATTATCCATTCTATCATATGCCTTTTCTAAATCCATAAATACAATGAAAACTTCCCTACATTTATCTAAATACCGTTCATTTATATGCTTCTATGTAAACACTTGATCTACACATCCCCTACCCACTGTAAAACCACCTTGCTCATCTGCAATCGTACTCTCTTCTAATTCTTTCAATAATAACTCTACCGTACACTTTTCCTGGTGTACTCGGTAAACTTATTCCCCTATAATTTTTACAATCTCTTTCGTCCCCCTTCCCTTTATATAAAGGAACTATACATGCTCTCTGCCAATCCCTAGGTACCTTCCCCTCTTTCATACATTTATTAAACAAAAATACGAACCACTTCAACACTATACCCCCTCTCCCCCTGCTTTTAGCATTTCTGTCATGATCCCGTCAGTTCCAACTGCTATACCCCCTTTCATTCTACGTGAAAGGGGGTGAAGCTTTTCATTAACCCAGTTTGTACTCCTATTCTTAAATTATTTGCAAACGTTTCATAACCTACGTTCTGAGAGCTAAACATTCCTGTAGACTGTAAGAGTTGTGTATTCCTGTATTTTGAAAGCTGTGTATTAGTGTATGTCCACCCTTGGTTTCAGGAGAACATCCGGCAGCGATGCAGCATGGAGGGCAGGGTACCTACACTTCCTCCTCCGTCAGGAACATCCTCACCCTCTTGGCGCTCCTCGTCGGTGTCCACACGCTCCTTCAGTAGCACTTCCCAGCCACTGACAACTCACGGATACGTGTACACACGGGCGCACACATGCAGTCGAGTCTCCTAGCCACGCACTCGAGGACGTACACACACTCCTTCACTAGCACTTCCCAGCCACGGACTACTCATGGACACGTGTATACGCACGGGTGAAGCTCCGGGGATCCCTCCAACGCCCTAAGATACTCCTGCTCCACACCTCCATCACCCTCCAAAATACCTCCTCCACCTCTTAGCCTTCCACCCTTTCTTACTATAACCCTCCACTCTCCACAAAACCCATTCAAATTCACCTCTTTAATCCACCTCTCATCCTATCCTCCACTGCACTGTCCGTTGCCCCTCCTCCACCGTCTACCCTACACTGTTGACGGGGATTACCTGGAGAGAGTTCCGGGGGTCAACGCGCCCATGACCCGGTCTGTGACCAGGCTTCATGGGAAAGAAGAATAACATATCTTCTATATACACTTCAGCTACACGAGTGAAGTCGATAAGTACCCTAGAAAAACACACACACACACACACACACACACACACAAAAGGGGCTGTATCACTCTCCTCACTATTACGATCTTACACAGCTTATAATTTGAGAATCTTAGTCAATGTATAATGTAAATAATGCGTAATAGATGTCTAATGAAAAACTGAATGCATACAAAACTACACAAGCCACGTTACTGTAAACAGGGAAGTGAAAACTTATTTAAAAAATATAAAGTGAAAGATCATTGTAAGTGTATACAAGGCCATTAGCATAAACAAATATTTAAACAATGGTTTATAAACCAGTGTAAGTGCAAGTGGACATGAATTTCCATGCTAAGTGTAAAGCCACAAGTCACTAAGTGTAAATAAGAACGTAAAACGCAAAGACTTATTATGGTCATTTTAAGTAAAAAAAAAAATAAAGATTGAAGAAGACCTCTGTGTTAGTAAACGTGACAGGCCAGTTTATATGTCATCAACAGTGCAATACGGAAGTTAAGAGGAAATTCCCCCAGTGTTGACAGGAAGAGGACGTGTAATAAGAAATCTCTACAGGAGCAACAAGTTACCTTCCTCTTACAACCGCGGCGGCGAACTGGATATAAATCCAGTACCGTTATTTGGGACAACTCATCGCTCTGCATAAAGCTTTATGAAGTCAATAATTTAATGAAGCTGTCCACAGAGCGAAACGTTCTGCTAATTGTTTTTTTTCAGCAATCCAATGAGGGCTAAGCACTGGTTGCGCAGTGTAAACGTGTGAATGACTGCGCCAGTCAGCGGTTGAAGCTGTAAACGCAGGCCAGAACGTAAACAAAAAACCTTGACGATAAACTTCAAGTCAGATGAGAAGCCCAGAGTAGCTGACGCCCAGGTTACGTCACTTGATGACCCATGACGTTGATGATGGTATTGATTTGACGACGATGATCATACCGAGTGACTGGTTGGGACGTGTCGCAGCGACACTCAAGCGAGGTCCAAGAGAATAATGGTAAAATTATACAACATAGCCAGTTTGTAATAATAATGTATTATTTAACCTACATAGCATTTAATATACCTTTTTATACTCACTGTTTGATAATTCTCACCAGGGAACACAAACACACACACACACACACACACACGCACACACACACACACACACACACGTCTCAGACTGGAAATATTTCTTTGATCTACGTTTATATCATATCAGAAAAATGTCAATACCTACCCCCCCCCCTTTTTTTTTCCTTCTTTTAATGGATGATTTTCATAATTATTTCCCCTCAATATATGTTTGTGTCGTCCGAGCACTATTGATAGTTTTAAATCCATGGTGTCACTGTTTATGTCATTTAGGATACAGCAAATTTCGTAAATCACGAATTTCACGGGAAAAAAATGTGAAAAAATATTTTATGGAAAATAAAACCATTTTTTTAGTAAAATGTGGATTTTATTTTAATTTACCTTCATGAAAGCTAGTCAAGCGTTGTAATGCAACAGTTACTTGCAACACAGGTGTTGGTACTTGCAACACAGGTGTTGGTACTTGCAACACAGGTGTTGGTACTTGCAACACAAGTGGTGGTACTTTCAACACAAATGGTGGTACTTGCAACACAAGTGGTGGTACCTGCAACACTGGTGGTGGTACCTGCAACACTGGTGGTGGTACCTGCAACACAAGTGGTGTTACTTGCAACACAAGTGGTGGTACTTGCAACACAAGTGGTGGTACTTACAACACAAGTGGTGGTACTTGCAACACAAGTGGTGGTACTTGCAACACAAGTGGTGGTACTTGCAACACAAGTGGTGGTACTTGCAACACAAGTGGTGGTACTTGCAACACAAGTGGTGGTACTTGCAACACAAGTGGTGGTACTTGCAACACAAGTGGTGGTACTTGCAACACAAGTGGTGGTACTTGCAACACAAGTGGTGGTACTTGCAACACAAGTGGTGGTACTTGCAACACAAGTGGTGGTACCACTGCATCACCTTGATAACACAAAGTTCTTAATCTAGATAGCAGTAGATAGTCTTCTAGGCCAGCAGTATCAGCCTGGTTGATCAGACCCTGATCCTGTACGAGGCCTGGTCTCAGACCGAGCCGCTGGAGCGTTGAAACCGAAACCCTCTCCAGGTAAACTCCAGGTAGATAGCCTCTGTGTGAACTTCCAAGTCCACGTATTCCTATGTACTACCACATACTCCCGTATACTCTCACGTATTCCCATGTACTCCCACTTACACTCTTATCAATACTTGCGGTTTAATTTTGTAACACTTTAAAAAACAAAAGTACCAGCTGATTAACAAAAGAACAACGAATAAGTAAAGTACTGGATGATTAACCAATCTTTTGGATGATTAAATCAAGTTCTTTATAGTTACGATAACTTCTGGATCATTAAGTTCTTTAGGACTGAGATAACTTCTGGATGATGGAGATAACTTCTGGATGATGGAGATAACTTCTGGATGATGGAGATAACTTCTGGATGGTGGAGATAACTTCTGGATGGTGGAGATAACTTCTGGATGATGGAGATAACTTCTGGATGATGGAGATAACTTCTGGATGATGGAGATAACTTCTGGATGATGGAGATAACTTCTGGATGATGGAGATAACTTCTGGATGATGGAGATAACTTCTGGATGATGGAGATAACTTCTGGATGATGGAGATAACTTCTGGATGATTAGATAACTTCTGGATGATGGAGATAACTTCTGGATGATGGAGATAACTTCTGGATGATGGAGATAACTTCTGGATGATGGAGATAACTTCTGGATGATGGAGATAACTTCTGGATGATGGAGATAACTTCTGGATGATGGAGATAACTTCTGGATGATGGAGATAACTTCTGGATGATGGAGATAACTTCTGGATGATGGAGATAACTTCTGGATGATGGAGATATCTTCTGGATGATTATCAAAATTGTTATGATAAATACTGGACGAGTTAGATAAAAATTTAACGAAAGTATTAGCAAAGGCATTAACAAAAGTATTAACAAAAGCATTAAGTAACGAAAGTATTAACAAAGGTTTTAAGTAAAAAATATTAACAAAAATTTTAGTTAAGAAAAATAACTTATTATTATATTTAACAAAAGTACTTAAAATAACTAGCTGATTAGCAGAGGGATTAATTAAAGATTTTCTTGAATAACAAGAGATAAACGATTAACAGAACTGATTAACAGAAGACTTACTAAATAACAGAAGAACCTACTGAACAGAAGAACTTATTGAATAAAACATTTTTGAATAACAAAACTGATTAGTAGAACTTTTCTGAAGAACAGAACTGATTAACAGAACTTTTCTGAAGAACAGAACTGATTAACAGAACTTTTCTGAAGAACAGAAGTGATTAACAGAACTTTTCTGAACAGAAGTGATTAACAGAACTTTACAGAAAAACTGATCAACAGTACTAAATAACAAAAGTATTATAGCAATTCAGTGGGTTACCTTGATGCTAACCAGAGGCTCTTGATCCAAGGAACCGAAGTTATTTTCCTTTTCCTTGGATCAAACCTGATTACCTATAATTTCCCAGGCATTGAACCCCTACGGGTTTACCGCTTCCGCGTGAATACAATTGCAATTATAATTAACAAAAGTACTGCCTGACAATTATTTTATGTTTAAGTAATGGTTAAAGAAATTATTAACAAAAGAAATACTGGATTATTAACAAAAGTGCTGGACCATTAACAAAAGTGCTGGATCATTAACAAAAGTGCTGGATCATTAACAAAAGTGCTGGATCATTAACAAAAGTGCTGGATCATTAACAAAAGTGCTGGACCATTAACAAAAGTGCTGGACCATTAGCAAAAGTGCTGGATCATTAACAAAAGTGCTGGATCATTAACAAAAGTGCTGGATCATTAACAAAAGTGCTGGACCATTAACAAAAGTTCTGGACCATTAACAAAAGTGCTGGATCATTAACATAAATGCTGGATCATTAACAAAAGTGCTGAACCATTAACAAAAGTGCTGGATCATTAACAAAAGTGCTGGATCATTAACAAATGTGCTGGATCATTAACAAAAGTGCCGGATCATTAACAAAAGTGCTGGATCATTAACAAAAGTGCTGGATCATTAACAAAAGTACCAGATCATAAACAGAAGGGATAATAAACAGAAGTTATAATAAACAAAAGTGCTAATAAAAGCAGCAAATAAAATCACTAATTAAAAAAGGCTTTAAAAATCACCAATTAAAAATAACAAAAGCCTTAATAAAATAACTTAGTAAAAGCCCTAATTAACAAAATCAGTGATTAATAAAAGAAAGTAATAAACATTAGAGAGAATAAAAGAAATCTCATTATGTGCACGTAGAAGCGCTAAACCCGCAGGAGAAGGGATCTTACAGCTCCTGGAAAACGGAAAGTTATTAAGTTTGATGCGAGGAAGAGGTGCTCCAGTTCTGAGGATCAAGAGCCTTTCACAACCACCAGGTCCTTCCCTCATGAAGGCATAGCGACAATAGCTGTAGCAACAGTGTAACAACAGCTGTAACAACAGTGTGACAACAGCTGTAACACTGTGACAACAGCTGTAACAAGTGTGACAACAGCAGTAACACACTGACAACAGCTGTAACACTGTGACAACAGCTGTGTGACAACAGCTGTAACAACAGTGTGACAGCAGCTGTAACAACAGTGTGACAGCAGCTGTAACAGTGTGACAACAGCTGTAACAACAGTGTGACAACAGCTGTAACAACAGTGTGACAGCTGTAACAACAATATGGTAACGGCATTTACAATATACATTTCAATCTGAGAAAAATATAAAACGTGTAACCACAAGAAAAACATTGAGGGAAAAATAGAGCAGAAATGTACAGTAAACAAGGTAACTGATGCTTCCTTAGTCAACGTTATTAAGAAAACGTTTCGCCCACCATGAGCTTCAGTGACCCATAATTAAGTTAACCAACGCTACACACATCTCTTGTGCAAGAACAATGGCTCACTTCTACACAGGAGGAAAAATAACTGAGAATTTTCGTGTTTGCACACACACAGGATCCATACATGGCTTTAAGAGACACGATAAAGCTTACTGAGCAGGAAGTGTGTGGACCTAGTAGCGAGAAACGAAGAAGCGGGGCCAGGAGCTGTGACTCGGCCAGTTCAACCACAAATAGGCGAGTAAGTACACAAGTTCCAGTGAGCTGGTTCCTCTGGAGATGAGCGTGTGAGCTTACGGGAACTTTGTTGTTTCGCTTGAGTTATTTATTTTTTTTTTTTGCATGGATTTGGATCACTGAAAACAAGTCTTAAGATTTAAAAATAATAAAATTAGTTATGAACTCTGAATTATTTTGCTTTAGGCTTAAAACTTTAGTTTCGTCTGAAATATATTTTTATTTTCACACGATAATTCGTGCTAAAATAAATGGAAATTGTAATCTCATCAAACTTCAAAAGAAAAATAATTTTATGCCATGATGCCGTTACCATTATTACATTGGAGAGCGATGGGGGGGGGAGAGCTGCGTTAAACCCACTGGGGGTCAAACGTCGCCCAGGGGGAGGGGGGAATGAAAGGAAATCTTTGACCCTAGGAAGGTCAGGTTCAGTTCTTCCAATCAGCGAGTCTTCACCAGTGTCAAGGAACTTCCCTAGAAGGCTTCTCTTCCCTGCCTTGATCAAGCCAGCTGATAAATGTAATCAGGCAGTCAAGAAATATATATATTTACTACGGGTCACTATACTGTCAGTCTGAGATTCAAGACAGCACACCTGACTGCAGACTTGTAGGTGGGTGACAGAGTTTACTGTTTACAACCGACGGATCCGGATTCACTCCTCGGGGAAGATGGGGGTGAAACCTACTGCCCCTGTTCATCAAGTAGCAGTTATAGACTTGGAATCCAAATCGATACACTGCCCACAATAGCGAAGTAAACACACGTTGTACAAGAAGCATTTACTGGGACGAAGTTCCGCGATGTGTAGAGCTTCACTGAATGATGTCATGACTCGGAAAAGCTCTACACAAAGCGAAACTTTGACCCAATATAAGTTTCTTATGCAACATGTACCCTTTCTTCACGGATACCCAAGAGTTAGTCAAGTGTTATGGGTAGCATCTTGAAGGTGGCGTAAGATCCCTAGCGGAAATAAGTCAAACATTTTAGCTATTCCGAGATGTTGATTCTTGAAAATGTATTTGTTATTGCAACACTATTCTAATGACTAATAAAATGAAAGTCCTCCTATAATCCTTCCCTCTTCCTGTTTCCCATTCATCTGAATACAAAGTTATACAACCCTGGCAGTGTAAAAGTATTACCTGTTTGTGTATACATCCAGCAGTGAGCTCCTTCCTGTCACCCTCACACTCTTCAATAATGTTTGCAAAACCAGCGCCTTGCCAATATAATTTTCGT